TGCTGCTTTACATGGGAGACGATCTTTCCCTCTTTTTGTGGCCAAAATAGCTCAACTATGAAGGGCTTCTGTTTCAGATAGACCACTGTCTACTTGGTGATTACAGCAGGTGATGTCATCACTCCTGGACTGCTCATCGTGTGCATCCAGAGGTTTACACAATCAATGTGGGACTACAGTTCATTTTATCACACAAACTCAGATTGTGTAACTTAATTAGGAACAATAGGTTTTGCCATCAAAATATGAAATTTGTCTCATCAATAATCAAAATATTTTAAGCTGACTAGATGAGGTTATTGACCACCATTGATCAATTACAGTGGAATGATAAGTGCTAGAAAAACAAATACCTTTATTAAAGGATTAAAAGCAAAAAAGTTTATCTGTTAATCATTCCTATAAATGCTATTATTTTCCAGAAAAGATTTTTCCAGCACCATGGAGTGCCACGTCAAAATAGTTCTCGTCTGGACTCTGCAGCATTTAAAACTTTATTTTTTATTAACCTTTGCAATGTTTTGCTCTCAAATGTGTGTGTGTTTAACTTTGAATGCAAAAAAATAAAATAAAAATAGCTTCATGTACCTCTGGTTAATATTTTGTTGAAATGTGTGAAAACTCGTTAAATTTGAAACTTTTTTTACATAAGTGTTGCACTAGGCCTGTCACGATAACAAATTTTGCTGGGCAATTAATTGTCTCAGAAATTATTGCGATAAACGATAATATTGTTTGAAATTTGACAATAATTAGTCATTGCTGTTAAATTTAAATAGAAATGTTTATTTGTTTTGCATGTAGTACCTTTTTTGACCACTGGATGGCAGTATAAGACTGCTTGAACCGAAGGATGGATAGTGAGGGAGCAGCTCACTTTAAGAAACGCTTTAAGAAAAATGGGAGGGAGGCCCCTTGACGTGACATGGGCTGTCTCTCTTCAGTTCTCAAAATGGTGGACGCTCGGTGTGTTTTGAGCTCTTTAGCATAGCATTTGTCACATAAAGCTTTTAATAAAAAAACAAAACAAAATCAGTAAACAAGTTCTCAGCTTCTTTTGTCGAGAAAAACTTTTTATACAAAGGCACTAGTTTCTACCGTGAATTTTTGAGCTTCGACAAGACGGAGGTTTGTTCCAGAGGTCGACCTGTTAGCTTAGCTCGTAGCTTAGCTTCTCAGCTTAGCTGCTTTTAACGATCCAAAAACGCAATTTTGGACGGTTAAAACTGATTTTAAAGAGAAAAGAGAAAGGGAGGGGTCAGTAAAAAGCACCGGAGTTGAGCCTTTTGTCATCCAGTGTCTTCAGTAGAAAGAGAGCGACAGCAAACAACGATAACGCCGATAAATGAAAATGAGGTTGATAATTTTCATTTATCATGCGATTAATTGATTTATTGTTTATTGCGACAGGTCTATGTTGCACTTGTATAAATCAACAATATGATTAGATTAAAACCATGTGAATAAAATCTGGTTACTTCCAGAAAACATGGATTTAAAAACAAAAGTTCAAAACTGACATTTTGGTAATAAATATAAATACAACAGAGTTCAATGAGCTCCGTTAGAATAAGCTCATGAGTGCAGAGGGGTTTGGACAGGTCCGATCCTCAGAGTTAGGAGCACAAAACAACCATTGTGTCGACTGGTGGAGCACATGAAAGGGCCAAAGCACAATGCTGTGCACAGTTTAGGATCACTGTTACAATGAGAGGAAAACAACTGCACACTGGCCTGGGTGTGACTGGAGACACGTTGGAAACACGCACCCTCGCACGTTTCCTCGCATCGTCACGGCTAACAGCAGAGATCCAATGCATGGATCTACAAGCTACAGGCTCAGACACAGAGACGCTGTGAAGCTCCCGCCACGCTCACTGACGGGGAAACACTGGCTGAAAGACTGCCCCTGAACACACCACAGACTTTATGACACAATTATAAAGACATCTTCCGACAGCGTTAAGCTAACGGTTCCCTGGTCGCAAACAGGAACAGGTCCAACACTATTTCCATCATGAGAGAAGTGGAGGTGGTGGAGAAGTATAAATACCTTGGGGTTCACCTGGACAACAGACTGGACTGGAGATACAACAGTGAAGAGTCTACAAGAAGGGACAGAGCAGACTGTACTTCTTGAGGAAGATCAAGTCCTTCGTTTGCAGCAAGATGCTGCATATCGTCTATAATATATGTTGTAGAGAGCACCATCTCTTCTGCCGTCATCTGCTGGGGTAGCAGCAGCAGATCAAGTGACTTAAAAAGATCAACAAGCTCATAAAGAAGGCTGGCTCAGTTCTGGGGACTCCTCTAGAACCTTTGGAGATGATTGTACAATGAAGGATTCTTCATAAATGAAGAACATTATAGACAACCCTCAGCATCCTCTTCATCAGACTGTCATACACCAACTGAGTGTCTTCAGTCAGAGGCTTCTTCAGATCCGCTACAAGAGATCCTTCCTGCCCACAGACATCAGCATCTCTTTAATGAAACCAGGATGATGAGTTACAACAACATTTAATTTCCCTCTGGGATTGATAAAAGTATTTTTGTGATTTTCTAGTAACATTTTGAGATTTGTAATGAACATCTGACTAAACGTGTCATCCTATCTTGTAAAGCACTTAAAAATTAGTTTATTTATTTGTATAAACAAAAAAGAAAGCCTCTTGTGGTGGCTCCATTTTTCCACACTTCATATCAAAGTGAGGATCTGTGTGTTTGTGACGGGCAGGCTGGTAGTGTGTGTGGCCCCAGCCTGATCTCCAGTCAGATCAGCCATCTTGGGTTGGGTCACCCATGTCACATCCCCCTGGCCTGGTCACACACAAACAACAAACAGATCTGCAGCGGGCAGCGTTGACTTTCTCTCTATGGCTCTGAGTCATTTCAACACTCATCAATGCTCGATGATCATTTTTCACATTCTGGAGTTTGAAGCTGCTACCTTACCAACATTTTATTTGACAATTTTAAACCTTTCTAATGTTTTAGCACCACCTTGCTCCACATAGTTTCCATTGAGCTAGCACATTTGAAGAACTGCTGACATCAGGTTTACACTTTAGTGAACTTTTTAAGTTAGAAATGTTTAGTGTTGTCATCACATCAAGCAGATTCTACTGTACGATGTCAGCACTTGCCTACCTCATCTATCTGCTAAACCACAGGTGTCTAATCCTCGTCCTGAAGGGGCACCATCCTTCATGTTTTACTTGTTTCCCTGCTCCAACACACCTGCTTCAATTGTTAAATTACCTCTTGATGTTCTGCAGAAGCCTGTTAATCACGCATTGATTCAAATCAGGTGCATTGGAGCAGAGAAACCTCTAAAACCTGCAGGATAGTGACCATCAGGGGCCGGGATTGGACAACCCTGTGCTAAACAATGTCAACCATCTTAAACACAGTGGTTGTTTTTATGTGCAGTTCTAGAGTTAATCTCGTTAATCTGATACAGTAACTTCATTTAGTGGTCATTAAAAGTATTTTTTGGGATCTCAGCTTTTAATCCAGAATGACCTGATATTGCTGCAGCTGGCGTAAAGAAGGACCGGAGCACTTTATTACAGCTGTGTGAAACATCAGCTTCATTAAGTCTACCCTGTGAGCTTTCAGCACACTTCAGTGCGCTGTCCAAAGACCATACGTAACAGAAACAACCAGTCAGTGACGTGCACTGTTAATCACATCGTCATGCAAGGAGTTGGGAACAATCAACACTGTACGACATCAGAAATTATTCTAGAGTTAAAGCAAAGGAAGGATTGCTTTTATTTTATTTTAGACCGTTTTAATGGAGAATTGCATGTAAATAACTCCGTAATGTAAAACTGACAATCATTTTAAGAAGGTACAATCCACTTTGGTCTGAGCTGCATTTGAACTGGCCGTTAGCTCATCATTCCTGTTGAAGCTAAAGGGGTAGTCTGGTCATTTTTCAAGTAATGTTCTGTCGAATCAGCAGTCAGGACCATTTTCCATGTCGGCTGATTCCAGTACAAGTTTAGATCCTGCCCCATTCATGCACCGTATTTTTTGCCTTATAAGTCGCGGCTTTTAGCATAATGTGCATGCCCTGCGACTTATAGGCCGAAGCAAGGTATTTATGGATTGTTTCCCACATTTACAAAAAAAATAAATACAATTTTTTGGCTGAGATATGACCAATTTCATTCATTTTGACTGAAAATATTGAACACTGCCATTTTCAGCTGCTAGATGGCATTCAAGTTGTATGGCATGCCATTGTGTCATGTAATAGGTAAAAGTGGCTATTAATGACACAATCGGCTTGCCATAGCCTGCCACCATTGTCCAGCTCACTTGGAGCAACCGTCAAGTCAGCTTCATTTCACTGCTCTGGTGAAATGAAGCTGATTTAACCATTAAAGTGTATTTATTAAGGAAAAGTTCAACTGAGACACACCTTTACTATAAAGTCGAGCAAACAAATAATTGTTTTTAAGTGTTAAACTTGTTAAATTCTTGTTAAAGTCCTACCGTGCACGCTCCTGTGGCCGCCATTTGGCAGCCAATCGATTTTTGGCACAACACCGGCCCACATTTCCAGGTCGTCAGCGGTGACGTGTAACAAACGCGATGCGTCAGTGGTGACGCATAATAGATGCAACATATGTGGCGAAGCAACGTATTTACAGATTTTTCCATTTTATTAGACATATTTGGACTGATGCGACTTATAGGGTGGAGCGACGTGTACAGCAGAAAATATGGTAAACAAAACATTTCTGCTGGTAAAAAAAATAAAATACATCTATGAGAATAATCTTTCAGGTGTTGCTGATTCATATGATTTTTACCTTGCAGTTGTATGTTGAAACGTTTATTTTTTCCAACATGTTTAAGTGTTATTGGTTAGTAAATGTTTAACAGAATGCTAATTAACTAGAACATCACTTAAAGCCCACTTTACTTTAGCTGTAACATTCAAAGAAATGGGCAGGTGTGTGCAGCGAAATCCACGCCCCACTCACCGACTCGTCCAGGGCAAAGCGCAGGCAGCCATGTTCATACAGCACAAAGAATCGCCGCTGCCATTTCTGGAAGCAGAACCAGATGCATATCAGAGCAGCCCGATCGGAGGGTCAGTCCCAAACGATGGGGCGCGACTCTTCTCAGGTTAGTCTCGGTGAAAGCACTTTGTTGAATAATTACACACACTTACCCGGGATCTCTGCATTGGATTGTCAAAGTCAGTTCCCTCAGGGGCCAAGCACAGCCATCCAGCATAAATAGGCTTGGCCTGTAAAACAACATGAGAGAGGAGGGAAAAAAACAACCGTTTAGGTAATCATTAAAAATGGGGAAAGAGCGTGAGCTGAGGGGGGAGGAAAGAATGAAGCTGGTTGGGTTTAATTGAAAAATGCCTTTTGGGATCCAGATGTTGTTCTGTTCCTGCAGTCACACAACCAGTTTGCTATCCTCACCATGTAATCATGTCTATGTCATGACACGCGAGTGAAACAAGAAAAAACAAGACAAACTGGCTGGAATCACACTTTAAACACCTTTTAAATAGAGTTCTTTTTGGCCCCTTTTGAAAAAAACATAAAACCATAAACATAAGGGGAGCAGGGAGACCCTTTAAACAACCGCTCTCCCCATGACAGTCTTTAAATGTGAACCATTACCAAGCAGCCCCCACACCACCTGCAGTCTCAGCTGGAAGGTAAGGAGACGCAGTCTGTAGCTTCCATCCCTGGATGGGTCATTATAGCGTGACACTGCGTGCCTGCAATAAATCTATACATGCCTGACTGAACCTGTGTGGACTTGCTTCTGAAGGTAGTTTTGATGAGCTGAACCTACTGAATAAATTATTATGCAGGAGGAGCTCATAAATCAAGTGTGGAAGAAAAACAAAGAAAGACAACCAATGTCCCCAGTGTCCTGATGTGTACCAGCTGGACAGAAGACTGGTTGTGTGAAGAGGGGGTGACAAGATGTACAGACTCTCCTCGGTAGATTGTTTCCTTTTCCCTGCAGAGCCTATTAATCTACCCCAAAGAAAAAAAAAACATTTACACTATTACCTTATATTTGACTCAATGATGATGATGATGTAGAAGTCTGTAAAATCAGTTTTCTTAACCACGACTACATTTTTCACTGTAAGTTCAATTGAACGGCTTTCAGCTGCAATAACAGGTTTCTACTGAGATTACAAGCACGCTCCTGCAAAGCTTTACCTAAAACACGAATAATTTAGTTATTTTTATTAAACGTTTACTCTGAACATTTAAAAAGTCTGTAATAAACTCATGTCTTGTTTCTGCTGACCTATTTTCATATGAACATGTTTGCTGAAGTTAAAAGCCATCGCTGATCTGATGTGTTGCAGTTCTGGTCAACTACCGTAATTTCCAGACTATTGAGCACACCCAAATATAAGCTGTGCCCACTAAATTCAAGTTCATTAAATAAAAAAATACAATTTTCATTTTGTACATCATAGGCTGCACTTGTCTATAAGCTGTAGGGGTTTATGTTGTAACATGAGATATTTACACAGAAATATTTTTAAACACTTTTAATTAAATACGTACCGTAACATACACAAATACGTACAGTAAATGTTTTTTCTGAACAGTGCCTCAGCTGGTTAAATTAAATCCCCCTGGCCTGGTCACACACAAACAACAAACAGATCTGCAGCGGGCAGCGTTGACTTTCTCTCTATGGCTCTGAGTCATTTCAACACTCACCAATGCTCGATGATCATTTTTCACATTCTGGAGTTTGAAGCTGCTACCTTACCAACATTTTATTTGACAATTTTAAACCTTTCTAATGTTTTAGCACCACCTTGCTCCACATAGTTTCCATTGAGCTAGCACATTTGAAGAACTGCTGACATCAGGTTTACACTTTAGTGAACTTTTTAAGTTAGAAATGTTTAGTGTTGTCATCACATCAAGAGGTTAAATTAAATAAAGAAATACAGTGGCCTACAGGAAATGTCAACCTTATGTGCAGCAGCTCTATTTTCTTTTTCGACAGCCAGATCGATGGCTTTTAACTTGAAAGCTGCATCATGTGTATTTATTTGTGTGTTTTTATGATGAGGGTCTGAGCATGAAGCGCAAAATAACTGAGCTGAAGAATTTAGTGCGAGTGTGTTTGATTTATGATAATTCATTTTGGTCCAATGTGACCTGTTTGGTAATTTCATTGGTCAGATTTTTTTTTAACCTTTATTTATACAGGTAGTCTCATTGAGTCACATGCACCCACCCCTCAAGAGAGATGTGTATTGGACAGCTATGAGAGCACCCGGGTGTGACGAGGCTAAATGTTTTGGCGGCATGAAGCTCGTTAGCCTGTATAAAAAAAAACAATTTAAATCCATAAATTAGCTGCAGCATAGTATAAGTCGCGGGGTTCAAAGCCTGTGAAAAAGTAGCGGCTTATAGTACGGAAATTACAGTATGTATCAACAAAACTAACCAAAGGTGGTGGTTGTTGTTCCAAATCGTAGATTTTTTTTTTTTACTATGTTGTTCTGTGACAATCTTAATTTTTGATAAGCCATCATAAGTTTTACAGCTGAAAATGGAAAATACATTCATGCAGATGTGCTTAAGAATTCTGAACAGCACATACTCCCTTATCTCATTACAACTGTAGTTATTTGTGGCCCAAAGAGGGCAACTTGAAGGTGAAGACAATGATCATGAGGTTAACTTCAAACATAACCTTACGGTCGTGGCAGCAGATCATTTAAAAAGTTGGAAGCTACAGCATGGTGTCCTTAAGCAACTTCAGCTTCACAATACAACAGACTTGTGGTATGAATAAGACGTTTAATTTGTTTGGTCTGTGTTCAACAGCTTGATCAGAAATGTGATGATTAGAAAACATCTGCTGTGATGCATCACCTGAGCTTATAAACCTGTTTTTGTGATTCTTTAAGCAGCTGCTACATTATGATGAGATCAAACTAATGACTTGCGATTTTAAAATATTTATTTCTGTATCTGCCAGTTGTGGTTTTGATTAGGTTGGAAAAAGTATCATAACTTCTTGCCAGTCTAAAGAAATGGGCTGAACTGCATACATTTGTGCTGAGCAATAAAACGACAGCGCTGTCTGACGGCAGCCCAGCCCGGAGTCAGCGGACAGAAAGTTTGACACTCGGCTGAAAAAGAATGAGCTGGATTGAAAATGATCAGTGTGCATTACAGTGTCCTGGTTTTCAACATTACTGTTTTCATGGACTGGAACTGAACATGGAACAGTGATTCCTCTACTAGTTGTGGGGTGGGGGTAGCAGAGTGCTACGATGCTGGCCGGTGTCTACGGGGGTTGGTGATTTGGCTCTGTTTACATGAGAACAACCTCTGGAAACATTAGCGTTTTTTCAATGGTTATTGGGGGTAATAAGTAAAAAAAAAAAAAAAAAAAAAAAGAGCGGGTTTACACAAACACGCTGTGGTTTCCATGTCTGTCTGACAGTCTGTCAGTTGGGTTGCCAGATAAGAAATGATGAACTATAGTACTGTGGCTTTAAAATTATAGCATTTTGACCTAAACTGTCATATGTGCTGAGTAAAAAGATATTCTAAGACGAGGTGTGTGTTGTGTTTGTTGAACATGTGCACAAAAAAGGAGGGGATAAATAGGACATTTAAATTTATCTAGAAGCAGTCACTGCGCATGCAGCGTCTGCATGACCATTACGTCCGAACTGGTGAACACACCAACGTCTCTTTGGACCCTGGATTTTATTAGTTTTGCTCCTACATGCTGAAAAACGATGAGTAGCACAAAAACTCTCTACCATTTATTACAAATGTTGTTAGTGCAGAAAAACTTAATCCTGCTAATGAACTTCAGTGTTTCCCCTAGTTAACTTATCATGGCAGGTTGCTCATCTCTTCCATGACTTTTGCTGATTGGGGGTGGGGGGGAAGACACATGTCTGAGCGCAATTTGTACCAACAGTTTTTAACTGAATTGAATTGAATTAAATCTCTGATAAACACAACTTGATGAACCAAATTCTACAAAAACATCTATATTTAATTTTTTTTTATAGTTTTCTTTATCATTTGATGTATTTACACTCATTGTGTCTATATTTATTGTTCAATTCAGATATGTGGTTTTGTTTCTTGTATACAGATTATTTTATTTTAGCTTTGACTTACAGTTTAATTCTTGTTTGTGATTTGTACATCTGTGGGTTAGAATAAAGCTGAACTAAAGGCCGTATCTCTTCTATGAACATGTCTGAGGGAAATATTCCTGAGGCACCCAAACATTTTGTATCTTTTTATGATTTTTCAGATGAGATATCTTTAACAGATTATTTAATAGTCAATAAAGTGAAAACAGGATTCCATGATAAAGCTGGGACCGTTGTGAGTGAGAGGACAATCTGCATGTGAATCCAGATCACAGAACACCTCAACAAACCCCACACTCTGTTCTTTGAATTGAGAAAGCTCCTCAGATGAGAAGCGAAACATCTTCAGATACAAAATAAAGTCCAGTTGTTTTTGTCTTCAACAATTTCTACATTTTGTTTTGTTTGTTTTTTGAACCCGTCCAGAGGATCTGACTTAATTTTTGGATTGTGGCTTTAACCTTTTTTGGATTTACCATGTCCTGAATGACTGATAATCTTCACCAGCAATTTGTGAAAGAGAAGTGGCATCATGATTTTGATTTGTATATTTCTTACTCACAGGCTTTCAAATCACTTAAGCTCTTCTAAAAATCTCCATTCCAGCTTGTTAAATTACATTGGGCTCAGAGAGAAAGCTCATAAGCTCAGACAAAAGGGATGTGGAACACTTTTCCTTTGGGAAACTATACAGCTTTCCTGACCCCACACTTCCTGTCTCTTTGTGTGACGCCAACTCCCACTTCTTTAGTCCCATCACATCCATGCCTGTTATTCTCCATTTCTCCCACATCTGTGTAAAACTTCACATTTCTCTATCCTATAACACAGTCTTACTTCCAGCTACCTCTGCTGGACAGTGACTCCTATTCGTGGATGGTGAGAAGACCAGACCTGATCTCATCACACAGCAGGGGTAAATTATCAGGAATACTGAGTGAAAACCGGGACAACGGATGGGGGGGGGGGGGGGGGAACCAGTGGGAAAAATAACGTGGAACACAGTCTGTTAAAAAATAAAAAAATCTCAGGCCTCAGTAGATGCCCTTCCCCCAGCCCACCTTTTATTCGTCTGTTGAACAGTCTGTTTATATTGGAGACCGTCCTTCAGACATTAAGCTCCACGCTCTTTGCATAACTTTTCGATTTGATCTTTTTCAAAGCCAATCCCTTTAAGCTCAGATGAACTCACATTTAATTTAGGACTCAAATTCACTTAGCTAAATCACCTATTCATGTTCTTTTAACCACATTAGACAGCCCTACTGGGACTTTCTTCATGCTGGGTTACTGGGTTCATCTCTTCTGAAAATAGGGAACATTTAACAAATCCCTTCTCTCCACCTTAAATCTATTGAGCAAAGCTTACAAGTTGCACCCTGTTTATGTGATTACATAATACTGGCCTGGTGGCACAGACTGGTTGTAAGGTTGTCCAGAAAGAACCCTCACAAACCTGCTTGTTCAACTGCAGACTGTTTGGACAGGAGACAAACTGGAGGTGCTTAGAAGTCTGTGAGTGATGAGAACGACAGCAGTGGGTGAAGACAACAAGCCTCTCTGGAGTGTTGTTATGCAGGGTGTGGGAGAGTGAGGGCCAGGTCACAGAGAGACTAAAGGAAGTGATGTAAACACAGACTACAAGATAGCGCAGCTACTTAGCACTGCTGCCCATTAGCAAAAAATGTCCTAGGGTTGAAATTCAGCAGAGTCCTTTTGTGTTGGCTTCTTCTGGGTGCTCCATTCTCCTCTCACAGCCCAAAAATACACATTGGGCTACTTAAGACAATTTAAATTGACACTGGTAGAAGCCTGTGTGTGCATTGTTTTTTGTCTTGTATGTGTGCTGTGCTTGTGATGGACTGGGGTGACCTGCCCAGCTTCAATCTCCAAAAGAGGTTAATGCAAACCATATTTACCTTTGTAAATAGGTAATACTTAAATATCACCATAGACTTTTTATCATTACCATAGACCTATACACTGGTAATAATTTTGCAATAGTTATCTACATGGAATTTTATGGTTATTTGTGAGCGCTAATAGCAGCAGCAGTAAGGTGTAGCACTTCTGAGGCAGTCAAAGGTTAAATAATACAGGAAAATTACTGCTGGCCTGGGCTGCACCACAAGTGCTACAGCCAGTGTTTCTGCTGCTATCTGCCCTTGCAAAATACCACAATACTCATGTAATGAGAAACTGACCACAGTGTTTATAACAGCCTTCGACATAGCACGAACTGCGGACGTTTAAGAGATCAAAGTTGTTTTAAGATGATCGATGTCGATGCAGCTCTACCAAAATTTAAATTATTCAAAAACTGAAATGGTGCAACAATGGTTCAGAAGAGAAATGTAAGTTTTCAACAAACCCCACTTTAAAATGGCCAGAATATCCCTTTAACACCCCCCCCCCCCACACACACACACAAAATGCTGTTTGGTTCTTGTGCTGCGTTCAAGGACCCATCTGGGCTTCATTTGGGATTAGTTACAGGATACAGCTCAGACTAAACTAACGATGAGGAGTTTTAAGTTATTCTTTGCTCCGCTGTACTTCTGTGGAGCTTCCTCTTTAACTCCAAACACAATTTGTTCATTTTAAATGTGGATAAAAAAAAAAGATCAAAACGCATTTAACCAGAAGCCCAGTGTGTTGGAGGAAAATATTATATCAATTCAGGAAAGAACCCCTTTGCTTTAACGTTCAGTTAAAGCAAACATTTATTTATAATTAGTGTTTTAAGCTGCTCACCTGAGTCAGATCCTGGTCGGTCAGTAGATGTAGCTCCCGGGGTTTGAAGCAATTCTGACATTTACTTTTGTTGAAGAAGTTCGCCTGAAATTTTCTGCAGGGGTTTTCCTTTGCTGTAGACATTGTATTCTCCCACGTTTAACCAAACACCCAGACGAGAAATCTCCTCTTGAGGACCTTAACCCAGTTGTGATCCCGCTGTTTTCCTGCCCGTTTAGACCCAAAAAGCTCCAGCGTTCAGACGCATTTTTAAAAGAACACCGTGGGAGCGAAATATTTCCGAGCAGCAAATGTTGCTTCGTCAGTCCGACTGGATCCACGTCCAAGCTGCCATCTTCCCGTATCCCAGTAACTGATGAAAGCTTTTCAGTCCATGGCCTCCAACCACAAAGCAAAGTGGCGACAAGGTAGCTAATATCCTGTTAGCTTGCCAGTGGATTTTAGGATCAATAGCCGGATGGCGTAAACGACTAAAACAACAATTTCACGAAACTACTTGCCTTCCGAGCTCAGGAGGAATAGCACATTTAAAGAACCGACTCCCGTAAGCACCAAAACTATAAAAAGAAAAAAAGCTTGCAGTCAAACATCAAGCTACAATCCCATCCGCAGCAGAGGGTCCATCAAAGTTCATCCAGAGCCTCTTCGCTATGCTAGTCTGGTTAGCAATCCAAGCTAGCACGCAGATACTAATAAAATCCTCTCCTGGCTCGCATCTTCAGCTCGTCCTGTGGAAAGGACGGAACAAAAGCCTTAAAATTACAAATGATTTGCTTTCGGCTGCAATAACTGCATGCAGGGTAACGATCTCTCGGTCAGTCACAGAAGTGGGAATAAGCACTTAAGATTTGGTTCATGACTAGCCCCTCACAGCGGAAACCGCTTTATTTTCTTCTTTTCCAGGATAGAGGGAGGGAGGGGCGGAGCTTCGGGAATTCTGCGAGATCTCGCGATAACTGCGAACTCTCGCCACCCACAAACTCTGCACTTTCCACACGTTGACCAGGAAAACAAAACAAAATAAAATATATATTTTTTGAATAAGAATAATGTCTAATCAACTATAAAGTCAATGTCAATTTATTCAAAAAGCACATTTGGACTAAAAAGTTGCACTAATATTTTATAAAGAAAACGTGGAGTGGAAGCTGAAAGGAAAGAAGGAAAGGAAGAAACAGTTAAAGTATGATGACCTGTTAGTCTGACAGATAACTCTTTTAAACGGCCTCAGTTTAGAGAAACTCAGCTTAATATTAAATGGATTGATAAGTTTACAGCTTTCCTAAGCTAAGGCAAGAGGTGTGATTAGCATTTAGCTACTATTAGCTTTTAGTTAGCCTTTTGATAATTTTAGCCATCTGGTTTTGCAATTTTAGGTAACACTTGGCTATTTTAGTTAACTTTTGTTAACTTTTAGTTAGTATTTAGCTACTTTTAGCTTAAAGCTAGTGTTTTGCTACTTTTGGCTTTTACCTAACGTTTAGCTTTTTTAAGCTGTTGTTCTTTTGTGGGGAGTGAACAGAAAGTCGCTGATTCGACCACATCAAAATGTGGGTGGGAAAGGTGAAATACCCACACCTGGATGCCTCCACCCTCATTTGCCCCACTCTGGGCCCTTGAGCAAGGCTTTAACCCACAATATGCTCTCCTGGTCGTCCTAGTTGGCAGCTCTCTGCTCCACACAGAGGCCTGTGGTAGCTCGGTGGTCTGTGGTTGAGTCAGGAATGGCATCCGACATACAAACAATTGAACTGATCTTGTAAATGAGTCCCCGAGGCTCAATGGGATTAACCTGTATAAATAAGGGTTGAATGAATGAATGAAAAGTCTTTGAGCAAGTTCACTGTGACCCCTGAAGAAGGGAGAAGCTGAAAGAAGAAGAAGAAGCTATTGTTGTTGTGTTAACTTGAATGACTCAGTTTCAACTTCTGCAGTCCGTTAGCGATCACCTTTCACAATGCACGTGCACAAAAATGTATTTGATGATATATTTTGAGTTTGCATTGAGTTCTGTGGTTATTATTCACAAACAGAAACTGCTACTGGGACACTTGGGCAGAATAATTTTATTATTTCTGTTAAAATAAAGATTCAAGATTTGTCATTCCACCATGTGGTACATGTGAATACAGACAAAACAGAACAAAATACAGACAAAACTGTAATAAGATCTAAAATATGAACTAAGAAAACATTAATAAAAATACACTAAGCAGTAGTAGCATAAAAACAATATGCCGAACAGCAGCACAAACATGAGTCTGTGTGAGCAGATGAGCACGAATTAACACAGCAACATGAAACAGATCAGCAGCAACATGAAACAGATCAGCAGCAACATGATGTGATTCATTTTTTACAGTAATTATTCTGGTTAGAGATTCATGAGTCTAACAGCCTCAGGGTAGAAGCTGTTCCTCAGTCTAGTGGTTCTACACTTAATGCTCCTTAACCTCCTTCCAGAGGGGAGCGGGGCAAAAAGTGTGTGTGTTGGGTGAGCAGGGTCCTTCATGATGCAGGTGGCTCTCTTCCTGTATCTGGAGGTGTAGATGTCTGTGATGGTGGGGAGACTGACTCCAACATCTTCTGTGCAGCCTTCACCACTCTCTGCAGAGTTTTTCTTTCTGCAGCTGTGCAGCCTCCATGCTACACGTTGATGCTGGAGCACAGGATGCTCTCCACTGCACACCTGTAGAAGGAGGTGAGGACTGAGCTTCCCAGACCAGCTCGTCTCAGCCGTCTGAGGAAGTAGAGTCTCTGATGAGCTTTCTTGATCAGGCTGGTGGTGTTGTTGCTCCAGCTGAGGTTGTTGTTCAGGTGCACACCCAAGTATTTGTAGCTGGAGACCACTTCCACCACAGATCCTCCTACACTTTGGGGGGTGTGGGGGTAGATGTGTTTGTTGTTTGTTTGTTTTGTTATTATACATTATAAATGTATAATAACAAAAAACAGTGGTGGTGTGAAATTTTAACAAGAAAATACAATTTGCATTAACTGTGTTTGAGAATAAAGTTATTTTAAGACAACAGCAATCTGCTCGTGTTCTTGGCCCGACGTGTATTCATTAGTCCATCAGTAAGGTCTGAATTAAACTCTGATTTTTTTTTTTAAACTGAGGTTGCTTAATGAGCTTTTAGAGCTTAAATGTTTATGATCTTTCCACAAAACCCCACTTCAGCATATCTGAATGAGTGCCTTAAGTATTGTTAAAAATATCATATACTAAACATGGTCTGTTTTCATGCTGTTTGGCATTTTGGTACTTTGGTTAAACGCATGCATGTTTAGTTTGTGTGTTTGCCTTCATTTGATTTCATGGGTATATTTTAAGACCTGATCAGGACTACATGTCTTTATAAATGTAAAAAAGCTTTAATGTTTTTTTTTTTTTACCGTAACCTGTCCTTGAACAGCAGATCAACGCTTACTTTCTGTGGAACAGCTCCTCACATGTGTGGCCCAGCCCCTCATTCTGGCGAGCAGGGAGCATGCTTCAGATACTGAGCGCTGTCTCTGTGTGTATTAATGGCTGACTCAAGCACAGGCTATTCTAAGCAGCAGGATTCAGTGGACACAAGTGGATCAGACGCGCAAAGTAACCACGCCGTGTGAATGGACGAGGAACACAAGGGCCTCCATTACCTAACTGAATCCAGAAAATTCAACCAACAGCCAGTCCCGCTGCGGATTAGGTCCTTGTCCGTCCAGTAAGTGAACCAATAATAATACAGATTATCAGTGTTTGTGTCTATTGCTACAGACCGACTAATCTCAGGTCTGTGTTGGTCTAAACACCAAGCTGAGCTGGATTTCTAAAGTCATCGTGTGCTTGCAGTTTAGTTTTGGGCTTTTCCTAATGTGTTTCTGCAGGTAAAGCAAAAAATAAACATTTATTGCCTGCAAGTGTGAAGCTCCCTCGATGGCCTTTTTGAGGTATCATGTGACGTATCACAGAGATGCAAGACATTCTGTGGCGACACCATGACCAGAATATATTTAGCCGTTCCCCTTAAACCTACTTTACATGGTAACTGTTAGCAAGGAGTCCAAAAACAAAGCAGCATCTCAGTGGGTTCAACACATTTAGAGTACTGTACTGATAGATTCATCCACTCAGACTGTTTCCAGAAAGAATGAAAAACAAAACACGATTTGCTTGAAATCTATTCCAAAATACAAAATGCATCTTCATATAGACAAGTCTGCAAAAATAACAACAAAATGCTGTCAAATGGAAGTTTATACACTTTGTTCACATGAACAGTTTCTGAAATTATTCTAACCTGACTTCAAGTGAACAAAAACGCACAACAGATTCCACCATGTCATTCTTTATTAAACTAACAAACAAACTAACTCTAGGAGGCGTGTAGCAGCCAGATATGATAAATAACTAATTGTCATCTGAGTATCACCTCTTTGAAAGCAGGAGTTTTGTCATTTTGTTGATCTGGAGCAGACAGGTGTGTGTTACCACAATGCCAAAGTGGAAATGCATCAGCAATAATCTCTGAGAAGGTGGTCGGACTGTTTGCCAGCTCATTTTTATGTCCTGACATGTAAAATCCATCCTTCCATCCTCTTGTGCTTGTTCTTGTTCTTGGGTTGGGGAGTCAGCATCTGGAGCAGGGAGGACATCTCGTTCTACAGCCATCTCACTCCCCGGTGTTCCCAGGCCAGCAGAGAGACTTACGGCACTTTGCCACCGTCTCAACGCTCAGTGGTTCTGCACCACACAATACTAGTTAAGGACCTGCCCAATGCCTGTACCCACTCCCACTCTGCCTGTTTTATGGGACCACCTTGTTAGTGATTCCAAGACTGCTCCATGGTGACGATTGTGATGTAAGCAGGCAGCAGCCACTGATTGGCCAGTGGAGCTTCCTCAGTGGATGACCCACACAGTTAGTTTAAGTCAGACTACAATTACGATGCCCGCCCATTCTGCATTGACGATCTCTTCCACAGACCGGGAAACAAATCATTGTATCAGTTCACCTACAAGTGAGAAGCACTGATGGAAAACCTTTTTATTTTTCATTCAACCTTTATTTTTACAGGTTAATGATCCCATTGAGCCTCGGGGACCCATTTACAAGAGGGACCTGATTTTAACAAAGAGTGATGACAACAGTGGACAACAAAGACAATCATAAAGGATGTATACTATATAATATTTTTGTTGAAATCAGGTCTCTCTTGTTATTGAGTCCTCGAGGCTCATGGGATTTACCTGTCTCAATAAAGGTTGAATGAATTGAATGAAAAATACAAATTGAGAATAACAAGTGAAAATAAAATGGTATTTAAAAAAGTAACAAAAAAAAAAAAAAACCCAGCTAGGTTGTAAGTCGATGTAGAAACCTAAAAACAGGAACACGTTGGTTTTTGCCAGGAACTTAGCAGATGTTTGAAGCCACTTAGAGAGGTCAAAGTCGAGAGCTTCAGATCTTTCTGCAAGATTTTCCAGGTAACAGGAGCAGAGAAGAGAAGGCCCTTTTGCCTAGTTCAGTCCGCACTGAGGGAACACTGCAGGTAATAATGTCCTGAGAGCGCACGCTGTAGCTGCACTCACGTGATGTAGGAGAAGATGTATGAAGACAACAGACCAAGAAGTGATTTAAAGATGAGAATGTACCAGTGAGTGAGTCTGTGTGAAGTTGATGACCACTGATGAAGCCTTCCGGATCGAAGGCGAAACGTTTCAGCCCACAATAAAAAGAAACTGTACAGATGACCTGACTGAAAAACGTTGGATTGTATACCTGGATTATTGAGTATGGACTTTGTTGTTATTCATGTAAATAATGTCACTGTAGTCAATGGAGGAAAGGAAAGTCGCAGTTTCAAGGCTGTAGTGAACTAAGCCTCAGGACAAAAACTGACCCTGAGGACCTTCAGGGGACAGAAACTGTTATTTCATTGATTTGAGTCCAGAAATACAAATTAAGCTCATCCAGAGACGTTCTAAGTGTGTCCTGCACTAATCAATTGAAAGAACACTCTCTTTTTATATTATCATTACTATTTTACAATATCTTGATAATCAAAGTGTGTTTAGTTCAAACCATTTTAAATGTTGAAGTGAACTACTCATTTTAAATCAACTGTGAAACAGTATTAATGATTTTTTAATCCTCATTCAAAGTAGAAATCAAGTTAATGTCTGTTACAGAGTAATTATGCATTTTTGATCTTCTGTCTGAAATGAGAAGGAGTGATGTCGGTCAAAAGTCGGAGACAGTCGCAAAGAAGTTATTGGAACGAACTGTCATGTTTTTAAACCTAGCAGACGGTAAACAAGAGAAGCTGGCACCTGTGAGTCTCTCATTTCGCCATAACATTTCTCTGTCTGTTCTTAAAACATCTCACTGTTTTTCTGACTTGTAGTAACCTCTTACGTCACTAAAACCACACCCCTGTTGGTTCTTTCAACCAATCAGGATTTCCCAAAAAAGGGACCGGAAGCGAACTCTTTAAAAAGTCGACACTTCCTAGTTCCAGTCAGTTAAAAGTTCCGAGGAAGAACAGAAGTTCTGGGAGCAGAACCGAACGAAAGTTCTGAAGGGCTGGAGTTAATTGGGAGTTCTTCCGAGTCTCGTGGGGATTATGGAATCTTCCACATCTGAGTGGAACTCTGACGGGCTCACAGCTCATGTGAGTCCACCTGGGAGGTGAGCGTGGTGTTGAACGAAGTACCGTCACTACTCCGGACGTTTCTCTGCTATCCTACGGAGACGCTGAGATGGTAACGTTGAAAGAGAACTCTACACCGAAGCTGAGATATCTTCTGCAAGGTAAAGAGTCGATTTCCACTACCGAAGTGTACCGAGGTAGAGCTGGGTTCGAATGGAGGGTGTCGTTCTTCGTCAACACATTTTCCCTCACACATCTTTTCTCTCCATTTAAACTCCTTCATTCCCCATCTTTAAAACTCTTCTATCTGCCAGTAATTAATCCAGATATTTTCAGAAATGTCTGTTGTATTTCAGTGCAAGTGAGAAATCATGGCCGTATGATTTCTCATTGTAAAGCTCATTAATTAAGCTGTGTTAATTGTAATCAATCAGAATAATCAAGTGTACAATGTTGATGTTAAATTTTGATTCTGTTAATAAATGACCACATTCATTTTGATGGGTCAAAGAAAATTAACGTCTCATGTCATTGGTTTTTAGACCATCTCCCACACAGTATCTCTGTCACATATCTGTCAAGTAGCTCGAAAAAGAGAGAACCCGTCGTTAAATATTGATTGTAGTGGAGCTAACTATAGCTAACCGACCCTAGCTTACTACAAGGCGTTTCCTAGTATACAGAGTTAAACAGGATCTATTTCTGAAAAATAAACCAAATTTAACTTTCAGTTTCCTTACCAAGTTTTCCATGTGAAGGTTAAAAGAGAGATGCGAATTGACCAAGATACCCAAATATTTGTAGGAATCGACAAATTCAATAGGGACACCATTCGAGGATAAAATCAAAGGAAGAACTGCTGGGCCCAATTTCCTGTTTGAAAAAAGCATCCCTTTTGTTTTGTCTGTGTTTAGGACAAGTTTGAGATGGAACAACTCTGACTGGATGATGTCAAAAGCAGATTGCAAAAGCTGGAAAACCTTAGCAACTGTTTTAGCTCAACAATAAACAACTGTGTCATCAGCATAGAAATGTAAGGATTCATCAGGGATGATCTGACCTACATTACCTATGTAGATTGTAAGGAGGGTGGGTCCTAAGACTGAGCCTTGTGGTACACCATTGTTGACTGTTAAATAACTGGAGGAAGTACCATTATGTTGGACACATTGCCTCCGATCTGAAAGATAGTTAGTGAACCAACCAATGGTCTGAGAAACCAATTTCTGAGAGCTTAGGACACAAGATGTCATGGTCCACAGTGTCAAAAGCTTTAGTTTTAAAAAGTCCACCCTATCTTAATTTTAGGGTTTATTTGTAAAACTCAGAAAGTGTAACAGGATTGACATTTTTACACCCCATGACTGTATTTCCATTGTGAAAAGACATGATTCGCATCTCTGTTTGTAAGACACATGAGCAAAACTGACATTCAGCTTCATGTTCTTTAGAGGCTGCAGGGGTTGGAAAAGTCATTGGTTTAAAAAAAACAAAACATTTACACTGTTTCAGTGTGGAAAAATATTCTTGCTACGCTACTGTTTCTCTTTAATTAGTCGTACAAACAGAACTGAAATTGTTGTTCTGTCTGCCCTCCTTAAATGTTCTTGCCCAGTTAGGCAGAACAATGAACAGTTTTCCAGTGAAATGTTAAAACTTGTGGGTTCAGGTCATTTATTTGTTGCCTCCTGCATAAACATTATTGATAACATTGATAAATATTATTACTGTGCATTTTGTCTTTTTCAAAATTTGTGTATTCTGCTTCTTTTTTGATTATTTCATATCTATCCGTCCGTCCGTCCGTCTGTCTTATCGGTCAATTGTAATAAAAATGCTCAAAGAAAACCATTCAATTCAGTTTATTTCTGTAGCTCCAAGTCACAACAGAAATTGTCTCAGGGCACTGAACAGATGCATTCATACATTATAAAAGCCAGTTGGTAAAAGTTCTCCATCTAAAGAAGCAGCAGACTCGTTGACTCTTCACTTCATCACATTTTCCCATCCTGAGCAGCACAAAGAAGAAAGTGGAAAGGAAAAACTCCCTTTGCAGAACCAGGCTCAACATGAATGGCCATCTGTCTCGACCGTCTGGGTTTGAGAGGACAGGAAGGAGAAACGAACGCAGAATGACAGGTCTAGATGTACTTTCTATAGGAGGAACGGCAAAAAACATGTTAAGATAGAAATAATTACAAATACAAATAGGTAGAGTACAGTAAGTAACAACAGCAGCAGAGTGAGGAAATGTGGTCAGTTTGTCCTCCAGCAGTCTAAGCCTATAGCAGCATAACTAAGGAATAGTTCAGGAAATCCAAGCCAACTCTAACTATAGGATTTATATAAAAGGAAAGTCTTAAGTTCAGTCTTAAAACTGGACAATGTGTCAGCTTCACGGACAGAAACTAGAAGTTGGTTCCACAAGAGAGGAGCCGGATAACTGAAAGATCTGCCTCCCATTCTGCTTTTGGAAACTCTAGGAACCACAAGTAAACCTGCAGTCTGAGAGTGAAGTGCTCTGTTAGAAAAATATGGAACAAGAAAATCTGTAATATAAGATTAAGTTGTTGAGAGCTTTGTAGGTTAGAAGTAAGATTTGACTTCAATTCTGGATTTGACAGGCAGCCAGTAGAGAGAAGCTAAAACTGGAGAGATATGATCTCTTTTATCAACTCTCATTAAAACTCTGGCAGCAGCATTTTGGATCAACTGAAGACTTTTTAAAGAAGTTTTTGGAAACCCAGATAACAAACCATTGCAATAGTCCAGTCTAGATAAATGCATGAACCAGTTTTTTCCTGCATAATTTTTGGACAAGATGTTTCTAATCTTAGTGATATTACGCAGGTGGAGGAAAGAGGTCCGGGCAATGTTTTTTAATGTAGGAGTTAAAAGACATGTCCTAATCAAAAATAACATCAAGGTTTTTAACTTTAGAACTGGAGGCCAGATTAATGCCATCCAAAGGAAGTGAAAGACTGAAAAATTTATTCTTAAAATGCTCAGGTCCAAAAACCACAACCTCTGTCTTGTCTGAGTTTAAAAGCAGAAAATTAAGAGTCATACAGGTTTTTATGTCTTTAAGACATGCTTGTAGTCTAAGTAACTAATTTGATTCATTGGGTTTCATGGACAAATATAACTGTGTATCATCAGCATAACAATGAAAATTTATCCCATGTTGTTTAATGACTTTACCTAATAGAAGCATAGATGTGGCAGGGAGTGGTGGTGGAGAGGTTAGAGAAGAAGCCTGTAATAGGAAGGTTGCCGGTTCAACTCCCCATACTGACAACATCAAAATGTGGGTGGGAAAGGAGAAACACCCACACCTGCCTCCACCCTCATTTTCCCCACTCTGGGCCCTTAAGCAAGGCCCTTTAACCCCCACCATCTGCTCCTCCTGGTGTCCCAGATGACGGCTCTCTGCTCCATTCAACAGAGGGCTGTAGTAGCTCGGTTGTCTATGGTTGCGTCAAGAAGGACATCTGGCGTCAAAACAATTGCCAAGTCTTCGTGCGACAGTTTGTTGTAGCAACCCCTGAAGAAGGCTGCAGCCAAAAGGAAAAAAAAACAACTAATGGAAGCATATATAAAGAAAATAATACTGGTCCAAGCACTGAACCCTGAGGAACTCCATGACTAACTTTGGTGTATGAAGAAGATTCATTATTTACATTTACCAACTGGAATCTATCAAATAAATATGATTTAAATCAATTTAGAGCCATTCCTGCATTCCCAATATCATATTCAATCCTCTGTAGTAGAATATTGTGATCAACTTTATCAAATGCAGCGCTGAGGTCTAACAGAACCAGTGTAGACACCTGTCCATTGTCTGAGGCCATGAATATCATTAGTAACATTCATCTGTGCTGTTTCTGTGCTATGGTGATTTCTAAACCCTGAAAACAATGCTTAGCACTGCTGCAGTCACAATTAAAAACAAACAAAAAAAATAAAATCTTGGGACATATTTCATCCAGTAGTAGGGAGGTTATCTTCCAATAAGAACTTCCCCAGTTATAGCAGCATACCACTGTGTTATTGGGCAAGCCACTAAAGCCCCCACCCTCACTCCCACCATTTGGTTATTATGAACTTGAAAGGGTTGTAACTTAATCAATACAGTATCACTGTTTTAAAAAGGCTTAGGGAGAACAAAGTTGTCAAAAGGGACATTCACCTTAACTTTTAGTTTTGTAACATTTAATGTGTTTTTGTCCTTGAAAGGCTTACAGTCTTTTACAGTATGTGTTCTGTTAGCCCAAACTGTTAGCTCTTCTGAGACATACCTTCTCTTCTTTGTTCTCTACAGAAAATGGGCGTGCCCTCTGTGATGGTGTTGCCCCTTCTGATAGTCTTTGCAGCTGGGGTGTACTACATATACAATGAAGTCATGCGGTTCATGTCCAAGTCCATAGTGCGCAACAAAGTGGTGGTGATCACTGATGCTGTGTCTGGGTTGGGGACAGGTAAATGATCCTGTTTTTGTTTTGAATATTTGAATTATTCCACACAAGTTTAACCATGTCCATGTCAATTTACCATGTCCTGGATGACTGAGAATCTTCACCGTATTTGAATTAGTTTGGATTCATGTTGTGTTCTTTTTAAAAATGGTTTCAGCACAATGCCACAGAAATACGTTTCACCCACCTGTTTTCTATACCCATTAAGTCCTGTTCAGGGTCACAGCAGGCTGGTGTTTATCTCCAGCAGTCAACAGGTGAGACGCAGGGTACAACATGGACAGGTTCATCACATGCCTCACATAAATGCAGATTCTTTGAAATCCTAGCAGAGACCAAGGCTAAGGTGATACTCCAAGCTTGGTGCCATTTTATGTGTATTTTACAAACAAAATGTCATTGTTTGAGACAAAGGGAAAAACAAGTATAAAACTACACAGCCTGTAAAATTTAAGAATACTTGTTTATTTTATTTTGTTGAGTTTTTATTTCTTCCATGAAATTAGTTTTTAGGAACAGGTAGTTTTTTTTTTTAAGGCAGCATTTCATTTCATTATTTTTGTGTTCTGATTATTTTATTTAAAAAACACAATCAGAAATATCACACAACACACCATTCATGTCCTAAACACAATTTAAATGTGTCATAAACAATATTACATGTTACCTTTTAGCTGAAACGAGTGATAATTGGGCAAGTTATGCTATGCTAATTGCTAAGCTAACAACAAAGTCCATGCTCAATAATCCAGGTATAAAATCCAACATTTTTCAGTCAGGTCATCTGGACAGCACACAAAAAAAGAAACTGTCCAGATGACCTGACTGAAAAATGTTGGATTGTATACCTGGATTATTGAGCATGGACTTTGTTGTTTTCAACCAGTTTGACAAGACTGTCAACAAGGAAGAGGGCCGGCAATGGAGGAGGGGCGTACCAAAGAGACCATCTTATCACAAGCAGAACTGGTTTGTTCCACTTTGGAGTAAGCTGTTGGGGGAAGAATCAGTTTTGTTGGGTGTTTCCTTGACTGATGAAGCCTTCCGGATCAAAGGCGAAACGTTTCAGCACAAAAAAAGAAACTGTCCAGCTGACCTGACTGAAAAATGTTGCTAAGCTAACAGTTTCTCATTTTTCCTTGTTTGTTAAGCTAAGCTAATAACCTCACATCTAGAGCAATGTCATGTTTATGAACAAAGGGGTGAATTATTATCCCTTAAACCTAGAAAAAAAATAAATAAATAAATACAATTTCTCCTCATTAGAAAATAAACCACAGCTAGTACCCCGACACAGCAGTAAAGCATCATTCACACTGGATGACTATTGGGAGTACCCAAAACTATCACACTACTGTTGCCTGACACCTACATGACATTCTCACAACATTTTTTTAACAAATTAAACTTTGGGAGTGTGCCGAAGCAGTCAGTGTACTGGGCAGAGTAAAGAGTGTTAGTTTTAAACGGGTACCGGGACATACTAGTATTAATGGTATTAATGGTAATAAAAGACCTGACTACCTTTCAAAAGCTGTCAATCAGACCCACTTCAAAGGATCAGAGCCTTTTAGTACAGAGCCACTTGCATTTTTTTGTTGAGACATTTCATCCTTCATCCAAAGGTCTTCCTCAATTTGAGAAGCCACCAAACAAAACTGATTCCCACAAACAGCATATTCCATAGTTGGAAAAAAAAAGTTTGCTGGTGCTAAGATTGCCTCCGGGACCCGGCCTATCCCTTGTCAATGCCGCTGAGACAGCCATGACAAAGTGGTCCAGAACATCAAAGTTCATGCGCAATAATCCAAGTATAAAATCCAACTATGTTCAGTCATGTCATCTGGACAGTTTCTGGTTTCTTTTAGACATTTTGTCCTTCATCCAAAGGACTTCCTCAGTCTGAGAAGCCACCAAACAAAAGAAAGAAACCGTCCAGATGACCTGACTGAACATTGTTGGATTTCAACATCAGTATTCAGAACTGCTCTTCTGGCCTGGATTACATTCAATCTGCTGGAAGGAGCTGACGGACTGTAGACCAACAGAGGAACTGATTAACAGCCCAAATCCTAGGTTTGGGAAAGCTTTCATCCCTCTGGCAAGGAAAACTTTAAGTACACTTGTTGGAGATTTAACTGAGCACAACCTGCCCAACCGACACAAAATGGTGATGGACCTCCATGACAATGGTCTGAGTGATGCTGTGGCATTGAATCAGAGAGCTCTTCGCACTGTTTAGGCTATTGGCCATCTCTGAACAGTCAAAAAGAAGTAATTCTCAGGGAACCCCTCATAAATCCTGAGACGCTCAGAACACTGAGTGTTTCAGACCTTGTGTCCTTCATCCGAGGGACACGAAGGTTTGAATAAAGCTCAGTGTCTTTTTGGGCCCACTCATGAGGCCCTTGCTCATTTGTGTTCTTGATTCGTCCTTTCTTAGCTCCTCCCCCTTCAACACTTGCGACTGCCACTCTATCATGTTTGGTGGAAAATTAGAACCCAAATACTAAACCAAAACTCAAAGAACTGGCAGGTAAAAAGAAGAAATTAATTTATTAGCAAATGCAAAACAAAAAGGCTGATGAGTAGGTCTGTCTCAATAAACAATAAATAAATTAATTGCATGATAAATGAAAATTATCGAGCTAATTTTCATTTATCGGCTTTATCGTTTCTTCGTGTCTCTCTTTTGCTACTGGACACTGGCTGACAAAAAGCTCAACTCCGGTGCACTTCACTGACCCCTCCCTTTCTCTTTTCACTTTAAAATAAATTTTAACTCTTATTTTTCTTAAAGAGACAATCTGCATGCTCCCTCACTATCCATCCTTCGGTTCAAATTGTCTTAAACTGCCATCTAGTGGTCAAAAATGGTGCTGCACACAAAAATTAACCAACATTTCTTCTTAAATTTGACATTACTAATTATTGTCAAATTTAAAACGATATTATCGTTTATTACAATAATTTTTTAGACAATTAATCGCTCATCAAAATTTGTTATCGTGACAGGCCTACTGACGAGGCAGCAAAACATACTCAAGTGAAAACTAAAGAGACTGGAAAGACAAACATGACGTGTGAGTTAGGTACAATACGCAGATGAGGGACAAACAAAATGACAGTAAGAGCACTAAATGACAGATAATGAAAAACACCTGGGGAAGGACAGGGAACAGGAGCTGAACCACATGAGGGGAGAACTGGGGACGCTGAACACAAGTAAAACAAAATACAAGAATCTCAGTAAACACAAAAGAACAGCTCACGAGACGCAGACCCTGACACACTCAACAGTCGCGAGAATGTTGTGCAACAGTGGTGAGATAGCTGTGCATGACAATGAAGAAAGTTGGACCTTATAAAAACTGTGGATCTCTCCAGTCCAACAGTCCTTCTGTCATGGGACATCAAGCGATGTGAACTTCAGAGAAGAAGTGCTGAAGCTGCTGGATGAAGACCAGGCTGACCTGCTGAAGGCTGCAGTGAATCGCTTTGCTGCTGCTAGGCCGAGTCACACGAGACCATCATGTGGCGCTTGTCATGTCCAGTTCTAAGAAGTTTCGGAGGCTTGCAAAGACTAATAGTCCCACAGTGGAGCCATCATAGAGGCCTGTGTGTTTGTTTTCATGTCACCTGGAGAACAGTGATTGTGTAAAAATCCACCAACGGTCAGTGCAGCCACATCATTGCACATGACGTTCGCCACCAGCAACAAAAACGATATGGTCAGAGTGGTCTGTTCTGACATTGTATGAGGGTGTGATGGATGTTCAACTTGGAGTGCTCTGCTAAATACTATTTCTATATTTACAAGTTTGTTTTAGAAAAAAAATCCAAGAACCTGTTTTGTACAGACTCACTGAAACTTGTAATTTGGTGTCAGTCCATTACTTAAGGCAATTTTCCATCTTGTGAATAGTGTTATAAAAAATGCCAACAGCTTATTAAAGGGGCATGAAAGAGCTTTAAACATTCTCATCCAGTCAAAGCACACATCCAGTATGTATGGACCATTCTTATCCCTTATGACATTCAGTAGTCCCTGTTGAGCTAAAAAAAAAACATGTTTTCTAAAGCAGGAGCTAAAACAGACTCAGTAAACATAGAAACCAGGAAACGACACTGGGAACAAAAGACCAACTGGTCTGCTGTCTGAAGGCACCGACAGTGTCTCTAATTGGCCATAGTTTCATATATCACCGATCCATCACAATGGTTTCTTACATATCTTGAATCAGATGGATTTGAGACACTCACAACGACTCTGAGACCATTTTAAGAGAAAATGTGTGATGCAAAGTTTCTGAACCTCCTTGTACGTTTTGGATGCTCCCTTGCAAGCACCGTTCATTTTTCATCCCTGACAGTCAGCACAGAGAGTTACAAGCTACAGACCTGCACCAGATAAACGCCACGATAGCCTGAGTGCTGGAGGAGGGTTTTTAATTGGGCTGCCATTCACATATGTTCTAAAGAAACTGTAGACGGGTGTCCTCCCCCAGAAAATCTTGAATAAAGTAGATGACATTCCCTGCATTCTGGTGTATTTTAACAGGTTGTTAAACATCTACATTTACCTACACATGTAAACAATTGATTCAATAACTATTTTAGAGAGCAACAACAACAGCTCTCTCCTTGTGTGTGAATAGAGCAGCTCCGCTTCTGCCAAGCATCCGTACGACTGCCTGGTTAGCTCGGAGTCGGCACTCCCCCTACCACTCGCTCGCTCCTGCTCCAATCTCGATTGCTGCTGCATTCAGTTGCTTCAATTCTTGGTGGTCCAACTAAGAATAATGAGAAGACTTTTTTTAAAAATGAAAGTAAATTGGACGGTCTTTTTGGCATTTTGATCGCTGTTACTTTGACAAATTAGCGTTGTTGTTTTGATACATAATGTGAATAATACCCATCAAATATTTATCTCGTATTTTTAATAAATAATCAAAATTTTATTAATGACCCACTTAAACTAAACAAAACTGATTTGCTATTTAATTGTGCTGTTTAATTATCTTTTTGAGTTTTTGTAATAAAAATGCGAGATGTTTTTGGACTTTGAGGGGCAGAGATTATTTTAAAGGTAGAAGCAGAACTGCTTCACTTGAAGAGGCAGATGACCGTATGTAAAATTAAGAATCAGAATGCCTTTATTGCCATTATACACAAGTACAATGAAATTAAGAGCCACTCCTTTTTTCAGTGCAAAAACATGCTTAAGAAAAACACACACTAAAAATATAAAAAAAATGTAACGCAATATAGATATAATAGCACTATGAAAGTAAAAAATACAAGTATTTCACAATTATATTGCACATTATGAATATTAGTGAGGTAGTTAAGGTGATTGAAAGTATAAAATGTCAGTAGTATTGCACAATAGAAGTCCAGGGGTTTGGGAGGTTAGATTGTTAAATCAGTGCATATGTGAGTCCAGTGTGGTGATGGTGATGAAATTATGAAGCCTGTAAGTGACTGCTGTGTTTAAAATTAGTGTTTATGTAAATTAGTTTCAGTTTACATATCCAATATAAGTTTTATTCATTCAAGGCAGTCAAATTTGTTCATAACTTTATTTTTAGTAAGCCTGAGAGTTACTGGATCTAAGCAAACAGTTACCGGAACGCACCCTGTCAAAATAAGAGAGTTCCCGGGATCCTGTTCCAGCAGGATCCGGCTCAATTTGAGCCGAATGTAGGTAAATGTAAATATTTAACCACCTGTTGAAATACACCAAAATGCAGGAAATTGCATCTACGTTATTCAAAATTTTATGGGAGAGGTCCCCCAGACTCCCCATCCTCCACCCTATACACCCCCATGGATAGCTTCATGATAAGCCTACACATTTGAAAATGGGAACAAACCTTAAAAAAAAGTATGATAATAGTTATGGATGATACTCTTTTCTTCTGTTCAGAGTGTGCACAACTCTTTCACAAGGCCGGAGCCAGACTGATCCTGTGTGGGACCAACTGGGACAAGCTGGAGTCCTTGTATGACTTTCTAACTAACGATGCTGACCCCAGAGAGGTGAGAAAATAAAATACTAATAATATCCCACTGTTTTTTTTATTTGTTTTTGTGAAGGAGCAAACCAGTTGGTTTGGATGAGTCATGTCTCAATAAACTATTCTTCAATGTGGTGTCACGTCATCGTTTTGGCTAACCGCATGGTGCTAATCCTTAATTTGGCACGGTGGCAGAGTTGATAGAGCTGCCGCCTCTCAGCGAGCAGGTCACCCTTGTTCAAATCCCGGCCGGAGGCATTTCTGGGTGGAGTTTGCATGTTCTCTCCATGCTGCGTGGGTTTTCTCCGGGCACTCCGGTTTCCTCCCACAGACCAAAAACATCCACGTTAGACTGATTGGTAACTAAATTGTCCCTAGGTGATAGTGAGAGGGTGAATGGTTGTTTGTCTCCATGTGTCCCTCTGATGGACTTGCGACCTGTCTAGGGTGTCCCCCATCTCTTGCACATTGATGGCTGGACATGGGCACCAGTGACCCCTGTGACCCGAAAAGGAAGTAGTGGGTAAAAGATATTGGGTGGATGGATGAATTAGACAAATACTATAAAGAAACAGCCGTCTCTCCTTAGCCATTTGTCTTGATGTTAACTGCTGCTGGCGTTGTCATTGATAATCATGGGTTAGTGAATATCGAGTTCTGTTCTTGTTTTTATTGTAATTCTGCTTCGTTGCCTCCTCCCGGATCACCACTTCCTCCGGTCAGCACAATGGAAGGATATCCTGTCCGATCATGAGTCGGCAGCACACAGCCATTTGTGTCATACGACAAACTCAGCTTTAGATATCTGTAGATGACACAAAACAAATAAGTACTTCTACCATTGGTAATTTTTCTTTACTGATGCCTCAAAGTCAAAATACAAAAAAACGTTTTAAATCTGAGGATTCCTTCTGCGTCTTTTGAGCCGGAGTTTTCAACTCAAGTCATTTTGTGTTGAGAAATGATAGAGCTACATTTAGACTAACATTCAGATCTTGTGTTACATGATGGAGCTCAGAATCTGTGCTGTGAATGACTCTCAGCTACTACCACAACCAACGTTAGCTTAAAATCTGATATTCTGGCAGCCATCTTGAAGCGGGCTGACTCCAGAATTGAACCACTTGTTGATGTTCATCTGGTGATTACTTTCTGAGATTCCATCCAATCTTTTCATGAGATATTTAACTAACAGACAGACAGCGCTGACTCAACAGTGAATGCCACAATTGCTTTTTTTCTTCAAATTAAGTATGTATTCTTTAGAACAGACACAACTGTTTCCTCGACTTCTCGTTCTTATGTTAAACTGCTAATGCTAAGCTAACACACTGTATCAGAGTCAGAGTCAGAATTTCTTTATTGTCATTCGCACCTCATGTGGTACATGTGGTGGAGCGAAATTATGTACACAGGGTCCCAGTTTCATCCAACAATAAAATGTATAAGAAAAACAGTGATAACATCTAAGATATGAACTAAGAAAAACATCAACTAAATATACACTAAGCACTCATAACATAAAACATTGAACATCAGCACAAACATGAAAATGAGTCCGTGAGCAGATGTGCACGCATGAACACATCAACATTGAAACAGATCAGCAGCAACATGAAACAGATCAGCAGCAACATGATATGGTTTTTCACAGTGATTATTCTAGTTAGAGATTCATGAGTCTAGCAGCCTCAGGGTAGAAGCTGTTCCTCAGTCTAGTGGTTCTACACTTAATGCTCCTTAACCTCCTTCCTGAGGGGAGTGGGGCAAAAAGTGTGTGTGCTGGGTGAGTGGGGTCCTTCATGATGCAGGTGGCCCTCTTCCTGCATCTGGAGGTGTAGATGTCTGTGATGGTGGGGAGGTTGATTCCGACAGACTTCTGTGCAGCTTTCACCACTCTCTGCAAAGCTTTTCTTTCTGCAGCTGTGCAACCTCCATGCCATACGTTGATGCTGGAGCACAGGATGCTCTCCACTGCACACCTGTAGAAGGAGGTGAGGACTGAGCTTCCCAGACCAGCTCGCCTCAGCCGTCTGTGGAAGTAGAGTCTCTGATGAGCTTTCTTGATCAGGCTGGTGGTGTTGTTGCTCCAGCTGAGGTTGTCATTCATGTGTACACCCAAGTACTTGTAGCTGGAGACCACTTCCACCGCAGATCCTCTTATGTTCAGGGGGGTGTAGATGTTTTTGTTCCTTCTGAAGTCCACAATCATCTCCTTTGTCTTCTTCACATTGATGTGAAGGTTATTCTCTCTGCACCAGCTCTCCAGGTGTTCCACCTCTTGCCTGTAGCTGGACTCATCATTGTTTGCGATGCATCCCACCACCGCTGTATCATCTGCAAACTTTACAATGTGACAGCCTGGATGGGTATCTGCACAATCATATGTGAGCAGAGTAAACAGGAGGGGGCTCAACACACATCCCAGAGGAGAGCCAGTGCTGAGGGTTATGGTGGAGGAGGAGAAGTTGTGGATCCTCACTAACTGTGGTCTGTTTGTTAAAAAGTCTAGTACCCAGTTGCAGATGGAGGGGCTTAGTCCTAGTGTGGATAGTTTGTCCATCAGGGTTTGGGGGATCATGGTGTTGAA